AAATATTTACTTAAATAAGTATAATTGATTTCTAATAAATATAATAAACAAATGTGCGATGATTTCAAAAACAAAAAATTAATATTCCTATTAAATTATTCTTGGCTAAATGTTTAAAACACAGATTATAAAAATTACATCGAATAAGAGAATAGTCTCCTATCTCGTGTGAGATTTGGATACGAACAAATTGATAATTCACATTAATAACAATTTTTATATTTTGTTTTAGGGATGTGTCGGATGTTAAATTAATGTTTTCACTCCAGTTCCTTTTTTACACGTAGCTTAAAATTATATTTACACAATTTGGATTCATTTATCATTATTTCCTTGTAACTAAGTATGGTCATTCTACGCGGCATTTTCACTGTTACCAGTTGTAAAACAAATTCATAGCGAAAGTTTACGTTAGTTGTAGTATGAAGGTTATGTAAAAACTCTCGTACAATCGTAGCCAGATAAATACGTGGTTGTATAAGAAGGTACGCTCCATATGCACTTGCGCGATATACCCTATAATATGCTTTATTACTTGATATCTTATTTTACATTTCGTACAAATAAGTTGAGAGCTAGAATTTCCTAATTACAGAAGTAACCAGGGACGTACACAGAGGGGTAGCTGGGTGGGCTCAAGCCCTTGCCCTTATACCCCAAAAATGTTCTATTTCTCAGTCATAAATAATCGTCTACAACTACTAAAAGATACAACTGACTTCACGTTTTTTTGTTGTTGTTGTTTGTTTTTTGCTGCAACTTAATAGGAAGAAGAATACAAATTCGGTTTGAAAACGAATGTCACACAGGGACTTGTAGGACTTTACAGTAAAATAATTATGATATGTTACTAAACATTAATACGCAAGAATTCAACGTTTAGTTTTAGCTTTTAAAAGTTTTCATAAAACCGATTGAATAGGAATAAAAGGGGAACTGTTTGTTTCTTATCTTGTTTTACCCAGAGATAACCCACAGTTCCATTGTCTCCCTTAATTTCTCCCCCAAAAAAAAGACTTGCTTTACGACGCTTGAAAAATGCCCTTTTTGTCCATGAGACCCCAGCCTTTTAATTTTCTCTGCACTATACTGTTCGTTTATTTGCAATTAAGCACAAAGCTAAACAATGGGCTATCTGTGCTCTGCCCACCACGGGTATCGAAACCCGGTTTCTAGCGTTGTAGGTCCACATTCTAGGGAGCGCACTCTACTGGAAGTACCGATTGAAAATTCAAATACTTAGACTCAATTCTTTCGCCCATTTTTTCACGAGAAAATGTAAGAATAAATAGCAAATTAATGGAATAGCTGTCGTCGCTGTCTTTCTTACATTAAAGCACTGATGGACTGTAAATAAACGGGTGTCATAACTATTTTGATACATGAAATAAATTATTATGTATATGTAGGGCTAATCATACTTTATTATATTACAGAAACTAATTCAGTGACGTGTCGCCATGAGCGACATATTAACAACCTATAAATTTGATTCAAGACGAACTCCCGACCATTTGTCAAAGCAATGTCGCCACTGACAGATTGGGGCATGATGAACATATAACAGCCGTTTCAGAGGAAAGTCATTCATATAGCGAACAAAGCAAATTGTTGCAAAGCCTGGAGCATATCCATTTCAAGGACGACTATATATGCGTAACATAATAAACAGCATCGGCAAAGGAAGACAGTCCCACATGAAGGTGAAAACAAAACACCGAAACAGCATCGGCAAAGGAAGACAGTCCCAAATGAGGGTGAAAACAAAACACCGAAACAGCATCGGCAAAGGAAGACAGTCCCAAATGAGGGTGAAAACAAAACACCGAAACAGCATCGGCAAAGGAAGACAGCCCCAAATGAGGGTGAAAACAAAACACCGAAACAGCATCGCATTACAGTCTAGAAACTACAACTAGTTCAACAAATGGAATATTGAAAACACAAAGTGACACCTACAACAGATGTGTCTCGTAAACTGATAAACAATGAACGGAACCCTTACGTACATGGCAGATACAGCTTGGTGGTAAGTATTTTCACCAAGAAGACGAATATAGTTGGATTGGCTTTTGGCTTAAAATATTTCTAGAATACTACGTTTATTCGGCTTTTTGGGATGATAGGTCGTCCATATAAAGCAAATGGCCTATCATCATAATATTGGCAACATGCGACTTAATGTTCTAATGTGTTCTCCAGTTTGATGAATCGGCTGGGTGAGACATACTGGTACAGCCATTGCAGTTGTTAAAATTTACAGACTGGTTGTCTTGGAAAACTCACCTTCAGAAAGTGATGACTAACAAGTTGCACATATCCCACGCACTGTGCACAAAATAATTCGCAAAGATTCTGCCCTTGTAAATAATCATGAACCGCATTCTTCTGCCCTTGTAAGTAATCATGAACCGCATTGTTAAAAGAAAGACAAGCTCCAGAAAAAGTGTGCAAAAAATACCTTGAAGTTGTTTATTTGTTTCATATTAAGCACAAAGCTACACAGTGAGCTATCTGTGCTGTGCCCACCACGAGTAAGCTCTGAAATTCAGCGCTCTGTAAATGATAATGAGGTAAGTATTATGATATAAAAGTGATGAATTCATGCTTTCTACGAATAATGCTTTTACATTGGTAATGATGTTATGTTTAACAAACATGTTTGGACAAGTTACAGAAACAACACTACAACGTAGAAGAGTTCCGAAATTCATAAAAATATGCATTTCAGAACATTTCCAATATTCTATAATTATTATGAAAAGAAAAGATAGTGTCAAAGCAAACCAATAACAAAATTATTAAAAACACGAGAGTTCTTTTAAGAAAGATGGTGAATGGTGAACGGTTATATTGTCTTATTAGGGCTTTGATGTTTCACTTTAAAAAAAAAACTTTGTTTCACGCATAACTTCAGAGAATTTTTTTAAAATGGTTAACAGATCACTTTAAACAATGTGTACCTCAGTTTTAATTCTAACTACTAAATACGTCATCCATTCTTTCTATATAGCTGATTTCCTTGCTCTCGTCAAAGTTTTCTTCTTTTACCTCCTCCATATAATCAAAGTGTTTCGTATATCTCAACAATAATACATAATTTTCCAGAAAGAGAAAAACTATTACATTTGTAGTTTTTTAAACTTCTGTGCCTATTAACAGGCACACAAATAATCCTCATAAAACAATAAAATAAGCTCTATTTTTAGCGTCTTTTTTGTTTGTTTTGTTAAAGACAGCTCATAACTAATTGCATTTTGGTTAATATGAAATGGTGGTTCATAGGATGTACTAACTCAATAAATACCGAAAATTAAGTCAACAGAAAATACCTCTTTTTTATCATACAGAACTGGGGTCTCCAAACCTTTTTGGATAAAGGCCGAGAAATAGATCTTTTTAGGCTTCGCGGGTCGGAGGGGGTCGTGGTAAAATTAAGTAGGGATGTGTACATGATCAGAATACAACATCACTAATTTATTTCTCATAAGAGCACATATTGAAAATATTTAAGATGTACAATCGTCTTTTTTTTTTTTAGAATTAGAGAAAAGCATGAAACTGGTGCTTTTCTGACAAAATTACACTTAATTGGGGATCAATTACGTTTTGTTTTTATAAAAAAATTATATTATTATGTTAAAAATTATATTATTACTTTAATAAACTGTTGGCGGGCCGGATAAACCGAAGTCGTGGGCCGTAGTTTATAGACCCTTGATACAGAACACATTTTGAGTATATGTGGACAGCTTTCAGCAATTTCCGAATATTAAACGCGTCGCCGAAGATGTTCGCCTTTTCATCCGTGAGGGCATTTTAATGTGACGGTCAATCTTACCAAGAATTGGCAGTGGGTGGTGTTGACTAGCTGCCTTCCCTCTAGTCTATCACTGCAAAATTAGGGACGGCTAGCGTAGACGGCCCTCGTGTATTTTTGCGCAAAATTCAAAATAAATCAAATCAAACTGCTTCCCAGCTACAAACCACTCGACATCTAGTGCATAAACCAATTAACAGGTTGTAACTTTTAAACCAACCACACATGATTTCGTTTTACCGTGCATTACTCGTATTTAATTGTGCTACAATCCTGACTGTGGGTCCCTCTATAAATTAAAAATAAAACTTTATTTTTCAATTGGGATATTGAATATGAGTGTAACTTTTAAAACGCAGACACCAGATACGACGTTTTACACCTCTTCGCGTGTTTCATGATTGTATATGAGCATGACTTTAATCTGACTACAAGCCTACAAACTCGTTAACGTTGTATATCAGTATAACCTTTTAACTTAAGAAAATCTCTGACGTTTCTCTTCTGTTGTTTTTATATAAGCCTGATAAACAGCAAGTTAATTTGATATTCGTGTTTCACTTTGAAGTTTTTAGTAATTTACATTTAGTTCTTATTTAGGGATTTTTGAGGGGCGCTAGCTTCGTTGGTATGCCGTTCACTTTTTTTTTAAGGATAGATATGCCCCCAGTGGCACAGCAGTATCTCTGCGGACTTACAACGCCATAAACCGTATTTCGATACCCGTGGTGGGCAGAGCACAGATAGCCCATTGTACAGCTTTGTGCTTAACTGCAAATAAACAAGGATTGATATAAACATGTGTAGTGACGGTACATATATAAATCATGTATAAATTATAGGTGGGTACATTGGCGAGACAACTATTCAATCAGAACCTTGTAGTCGTATTTCAGACTTAACTGGAAGTTGACCACCTGTATGAAGACTAAAATTAGAATCTCAACAGCTGGGTCACTATATAAAAAGTTGATAGTTCAGGTAGCTTACGTTATCATACTAAAGTAGAAGTCTGATCAACTAACAGTATGCAAATTTTCTGCGACATCAGTTCTTTTCATGGTTTTATTGCAACATGCGACCTCTTCATCGTGTTGTTAAATCTGCGATAAGGAAAAGAATCAGCATACTGACTCTTATGATAATTGGAATCTTTCTGATAGTCAGAAAGACTAAAACGATGAATAAAACAGAATTGATTCATAATCTAGGAACTACAAACAGTTCAATAACAAGAATATTGGAAACACAAGATGACACCAACAGCGGAAATGTCTTGAAAATAGTTGAAAAAACGAAACCCTTACGTACATGGCAGATACAGCTTGGTGGCAAGTATTTTCACCAAGAAGACGAAGATAGTTGGATTGACTTCTGGCTTAGAATACTTCCAGAATACTACGTTTATTCGGCTTTTTGGGATGATAGGTCGTCCATATCAAGCAAAGGACCTATCATCAGAATATTTGGCAAGGTAAGGCTTAATGTTGTAAATGTAAGTTCTATTCAATGTGCCCTCCAGTTTGGTGAAACGGCTGGGTCAGACATACTGGTGCAGCCATTGCAGGGTCATTACCGATTTTCACTTAAGTGCTACGATGGAGGAAGTATTGAGTTTCGATGTTCCGTCCCTCCCGGACAAAAACCAACTTCTGTGTCCTTGGTACTAAATGACCGATGGAAGCCGTGGCATTGGGTAAGTATTCATTATCCAAAGAAGATGAACAGCGAGAATAAAATTGTTTTGTGCACCACACCTATGTATGGTGACTTCAGCAACCATATACTGATTATAGAATTGATCGCCTACTACAAGACAGTAGGGGTCACTCATTTTGTGTTCTATGATGCTGGCTGCTCTGATACTGTTAGAAAAACACTGAAAAAATTAAACTTGGCTGGTATATCACTGGATGTGCTACCTTTTGTCAAACATGGAGAGAAGGACAATCGAAAGTGGAATGAGCGAGCTCAAGTGATATCTGTTCAAGACTGTATGTACAGGCATATGCATACTTATGAATACGGTTTGTACGTTGACCTTGACGAATTTATCTTCCCTGTACAGCACGAAACGCTGCAAGAGCTCTTAAAGAGCGAAGAGCAGAGGATTCCAGGGAACTGCTGTGGAGAGTACGTCTTCAGACATTTCCTCTACTGTCTCGATTACCCATCATTCCCGGTTCCATATCTTCCTTTTGAATTTAACACCTTGCTCAAGAGATATGTGGTCAACAACACACAAGGTTATGACAGGTCCCGTTACATCACCAAAATTGCAGAGTTAGAACATCATGGCTGTGTGCACAGGGTGGCGCATCTGCTGCCAGGATCCAAGCGACATCTAGTGCCGGATCAGGTCGGTTTCAGCCATCATTACCGTCGTGGCGTCAAATATGACAATAGGATTGATTGCGGCAACTTCGGCAATGCAAAGATGAAGAACATCGTAATTTACGATCCAAGTCTTCCTTTTAAGTTTGGAAATAAAATGATAAAACTTGTGAAACTGTGGAAAATGTTCTATGGCATTGAATGAGGCAATACAGATAATTATATTTTTTGTTTTTACCAAAATTTACCTAAATGAAGTTTTAAATTTATCAGATTTTTTCTGCAATGCTGTTTTGTTTGTTTTTGCTTTGCTGTGTAAGTTAAAGTAATATTTACACTCATCTATAAGTGAAATAAATATGTCGTTAAAAATGAGTTGATCAACCACATATATATGTGTTAAGCATATGTTTTAGTTTTGAAACTAGCCTTTTTCACTTATATAAAGAGATAGAAATCCATGAAGGTTGATTGATTCACAAAATGGCTATCTGCGACAGCCATCCTAATTTTTCATTCCTATCCGTATGTCCCTTTTGTTTTCCTTCTCTCCCCAAGTTCCTCATATGCACAAGCTAGAGGCTGAAACCCGTTACTTAACAGGTTTGGTTTGGTTTATGTTGCATTTCGCGCAAAGCTACACGAGGGCTATCTGTGACTCGTAATGTGAGGGTCGAGGGTTCGAATCCCCGTCCCATCAAACATGCTCGTTCTTTCAGCTTCGCGCATTTTGAAGGAGAAGCACCATCTTGTGTGTAATTTAAATTGGCTGAAAAGACAATGTGCCAAGATAATTTAGAAGTGATCCACAAAATCGTCGTTGATGTATCCACAACGACGTATTATCAACGACGTAGTTAATAGCTACTGCTGTATACTTTGAATGATAACGGAAACAAAGAAATTTAAACCTTCGAATCTAAAAAAAAAAAGGTATAAAACGGTCTAATAAGAAAAAGAATGTTGGATAAGACAGCAAAAAAATCCAATTTATGATTTTATCATTTCGTTCTTAACTGGGCTAGCATAGTTTTCTAGTAAAAAAATACGTTATTAACTTTTAAAAGCCTCCAGTGGCACAGCGATATGTCTGCGAACTTACAACACTAGAAACTGGGTTTCGATACCCGTGGTGGGCAGAACACAGATAGTCCATTGTGTAGCTTTGTGCTTAACTTCATATAAAAACACAAGCTTTTAAACTTCACCTTCTTGCAGACTCCTCGCGGCGAAGCTTTTAAGCTTGGCCTTATTCTAGACTCCTAGCGGCGAAGCTTTTCAACTTCACATTGTTGTAGATTCCTTGTTAAGAAGCTTTCCAACTTCAACTTATTTTAGACTCCTAGCGCTTTCCAACGTCACCTTGTTGTAAACTCTTCACGTCGAAACTTTTAAACTTCAATTTGTTGTAGCCTCCTACCAGCGAAACCTTTTAAATACACCTCATTGTAGACTCCAACCCACAAAGGTTTTGAGTTTCACCTTGTTATACACTCCTATCGATGAAGTTTTCTAATATATCCTTGTTGTAGATTCTTATAGTTAACCATTTTCATCTTTAATTTTTAGCAGGCTCCTACTATCGAATATTTTCAACTGCACTTGTTTTAGACCCCTACTGACAAAAACTTTAACTAATTGTTCTGGTTTGTCGGGTTAGCTTAATCGCAAGCTATGTTTTAAAAAGTATGTAATATTAAACTAGTCGGCGTACAACACGTGCATTGCTCTTAAAAAATGTAATATATAAAATGTGTTGAATGAAAATACACGCCATTTTAAGACGAATTTGGAAGTTTTCAGTGTGAATTAACATAACTAGTATTTTTGACTAGAGCTAAAGATTTGGTTAAAAAGTATCTAGATTGTTGTTTCCTTATGCTATGGTTAGTACTCACGTGATTTTGCGTTTTTTGTTCTAGACTTACTGACGAAACTCTTCAAATCTAATTTGTCGTAGGCAACTATCAGAGAAGCTTTTGAACTAAACTTTGTTGTAAACTACTACCGACGAAACTTTTCAACTTAACCTTGTTGTAATCTACTATCGACTCAGATTTTTAACTTAACATTGTTGTAAACTACTACCGACGAAACTTTTCAACTTAACCTTGTTGTAAACTACTACCGACGAAACTTTTCAACTTAACCTTGTTGTAAACTACTACCGATGAAACTTTTCAACTTAACCTTGTTGTAAACTACTACCGACGAAGCTTTTCAACTTAACCTTGTTGTAAACTACTACCGACGAAATTTTTCAACTTAACCTTGTTGTAATCTACTATCGACTCAGATTTTTAACTTAACCTTGTTGTAATCTACTATCGACTCAGATTTTTAACTTAACCTTGTTGTAAACTACTATCGACTCAGATTTTTAACTTAACCTTGTTGTAAACTACTATCGACTCAGATTTTTAACTTAACCTTGTTGTAAACTACTACCAATGAAGCTTTTCAACTTAACCTTGTTGTAAACTACTACCGACGAAGCTTTTAAACTTAACCTTGTTGTAAACTACTACCGATGAAGCTTTTCAACTTAACCTTGTTGTAAACTACTACCGACGAAGCTTTTCAAACTTAACCTTGTTGTAAACTACTACCGACGAAGCTTTTCAACTTAACCTTGTTGTAAACTACTACCGACGAAATTTTTCAACTTAACCTTGTTGTAATCTACTATCGACTCAG